CATGGTTTTGGGTTATACCAACCAGCCTTTCCCCAGACAGTTCCTAGGCACAGTTAAGCATGGACCAAAGACCATTCCCAGTAAGCAGTTTGCATGCGGTCACCTTTTTTGGGAGGCTGAGAATTTAATAATATGGACATAGGCCACTCTGTGCCTGTTGGTCTCAGTGCCAAAGGAACATTTCCTGTCCCATTTAATTTCCTAGCACAGACATAGCCACTGTGTTACAGTCTGATCCCTGCTTTGTTCCTGTAGCTGTGCAACTGGGCATTGGTCTGTACTTAAAGTCTGTGGCAAACCAAAATGTAGTCTTTTGTGTCTGTGTTACTCAACCCCATCCCTAAACCTCTGTTTGTCTTTGTCTTTTTTGAACTGTATGCTATTCAGACAGAAACTATATTTGGAAAGAGCTGTATATTGTGCAGATCCATTGAAATTAAGCAGTTATCCAAAAGTGAAAATCTGTTCTGTAAAGTAAATGGAAGTTAAACGAGACTGACATAATGCCTAGATCTTGTGTTCGCATTGCTAGTGAGCAGATACCAGTAATTTGACTTTTCATCAGAAACAGGTACCATGAAGTGCAGGATTGAAACTCCTGGGGCTAGATGGTCCCAGACAGCAACATCTGCCAGGTATAATAAGGCAGAAAGCTTTATTTCAACATAACTTTGCCTTCTTCTTCTGACTCTAAATGCAGCTTTTCCCTGGCTTTTCACTGAGCACATCTCCTTCTTTAGGGGGTCAGACACAGCCTTAGTAGACATTTGCAGATGTTCTTTTCCTTTTTAATGCTTCTCAGATACACATTTAATTTCTTTTCATCCTGAAGTGCTGCCTAAATCTATTGACATTTAAATTGTTAGAAGCAGTGATCTTCAGCTACTGATATAATTCTTATCTGATATCATCCCATCTTATCTGGGTAGTGGAAACACAAGATGTGCACTAGAAAAGGAACATAGATACTCCTTTAGGTACGTACTCCTTCCAGTGTATGAATTATTCTCAATCTTTTTGTGTGTAACGTAATCTATGAAATACAAATGTCATAGGGAATCCTCGGGACAGGCAGAGTGGGCTGAGAAGCTAAAGCGGGAAAAGGAGCTAATTTGGCCCAGGACCATTTGGAGGCAGCTGGAAGAAGAGGGAACAGGGTGTGAAATTCAGGGGAGCTTGAGGGGTGCAAGGGAGGAGACGGGGAAACGTGAGGGAAGACAGAGCACATGAGACATGGCGGGGCAGCAGGCTGTGACCACCTGGGCGCTTGCAGATGAGCAGCAGGGGATTAGGCGTGTTCGGCGACACTGTCAGGGGGGCCACTGGCATGTGACAGAAAAGCAGAGTCAGGGCAGAGGAGCCAGGAGGTTGGGGAAGCTGGGAGGAACCTGGATGGTGTAAGAGAGGAACTAGAGACCAGGCAGGGTGAGGAGAAGCGAGGAGGCAAAGGAGAAAAGTTTCTTAGATGAGAGGGCTAAAACATAACATGGCCACCAAAACCTACAATCTCCAAAATATTTAGGAGTCTTGCGCTGAATTTAGGATGTGCACGTGAGCACATACCTCTTTTCCTGCAGAGCAATCACCATGTGCCACATTACGTGTGTGTCAGATTTTCAGGAGAGGCAGAATTGAACTGTAGCAATGCAGGTGCTTGCTTTTTTCATCCTAAAAATGGGACTTTATCAAGCAGCTCTTTATCAAGTGCTCTATCTCTCAGGGAGAGCCTGTCTCACTGGTGGTGTGGCTTACCTAAGCAAAGCATTTTTTCATCCTAAGTCAGAACCATGCTAAAGAGGAAGTGATGATCTAGTTGTTCAGCCTCACCATATCCTGTGTTCAGAATAATTTTCATTTCTACTTATCTGAAATGTCAATGGAATGTCCACAAATATTTTCTTGGTTTCTATGGTAAGAGAAAGAGTGTGAAACTGTGTCAAAACCACTGCATCATCTGCATCATCCTGTGCTTTTCAGGAGAAGACCCTGACCACTAGAGGAGTCATCTGTGGCATTACTTGTGTGCAAACTGACATTTAGTACATCTTGATCCCTTTCAGGTTCACATTCTGAAACACAGACTTGCATATTACAAACCATAAAGGTTACTTGGTCCCTTTTATAATTACACAGTAATGACAGTCTATCAAAACAGCACAACACAGATTACTTCCTCTCTGACTATAAAGCAATTAGGCATTTGCTGGAATTTAACTGTAAGACTTTGGAAATCAGTTTTTTTAAAGGTTTTAAGTTTCCAAATGACTCAGAAATAATATCTCCCAGTCCCCTGTGTACGCATGCATGGAGTGTAGCAGGGTGCAAACGCTTGGGGAACAGTGCCAGTAAGTGGTCACGTGGGAGAAGCAGCTAATGTGCTACACACTTCCGCAGCCTTCTGAAAACAGTACTGTTCCCCCTGAGTGAGCACCCAGGGACCGGCCACGAGCTGAGATGTCCCTCTCAGGAAAGGAGCAGCTGTCCTGTGCCCCATTTCTCCTGGAAAAGGGACTTCAGTTTGGGGCACACCTTGTCGGAAGCTTTGTCTCACAACCATGCATCTCCCGCATCCTTTGCCTATGAAAGCGCAGAGCCTTAATGTGCCAGGGCTGGTGGGACTGGGCAAAATAAAGCACACTTCCACTCTGTGTGAGAAGAGCTGTGTGGATCTCAAACCAGGAACTGTGAAGTTTGGTGGTATTCCCGCAGATCAGAGACCACAGAGCTCTTGCGCCCAACACTGCACCCAGACATTGACAAACAATAGTGGGTTGAAATTGTTATATCTGGTTTCTCAAAACAACATTTTTTCAATAAGCTTTTCCACAAATGTACTGAGAGAATAAAAATGCAGTTCAGTTTGAGAGGTATATCTACATCAGGAAAAATATGTATGTGTTTTAGGAGGAATTCTAACTGACTCAAGATAGGGCAGCTTCAGTAAAAATCCCTGACCTCCATTCTGTCTTCTTTCCCTGGAGTGAATCTCTGAAGAAACTTTTCTGGTTTTTATAGAGAGAAATATTTTGGAAACACTTCACTGGTATGCTACCAAATCAGGAACAAGACAAATGGAGTTAAATAATGCCCAACTTCCACACAGGAATCTGTTTCTGTGGACAGGTATCTGGAATTCTAGCTTGCCAGTGCAGTACTTCACACTGTGTTATTGAACTGTTTCAAAGACAAATTTTATGAATAGAGATCAAAGTGTTTAAGAGGACTGTTAGCAAATATGACCACTTGTGCAAATATCCGTGAACCTCCCTTCAATAGCCATTCAGTAGTTCCAAAGGCTGTCAGGGCATGTAATGATTGTAATAAATGTTGTATTTGCTTTTGTTTCAGCTGGCTTTGACCAACAAATTCAGATGATTACTTCCATTGTTATTTTTGCTTAGAAGACAATTATATTGTTATCATTAAAAAAACCCAACTCTTCTTAAACATTTCTTTGTACTGGTCTTGAAATTCAGAACTCACTATCCTATTAATATACTTTTAAAAGTTATTTTTATTCTTATCCTTGCACTTGCTTCTTTTCAGTGTTTTTGCTTTGTTTCATGCTCCTCCTGAATGCTGCATCTCCCACCTTCGTGTTCATTGGAGAAACAAACAAATAATTGTTGAGACCCTCTCTGCCCCCAGATTAATAGTCAGAGGTTTAAATTATAGGACACACTAAGAAAATACTGATATTTAGATGATGATCATGTGTTGTTATGGCTGGATTATAACTGTATTCAGGAGCAGGATACTCCTGTGGCTTTGAGATTATATTCTGGAAACATAATAGCTCATGCAGGACTCTGAAGAAGTTCATTGTGTCCTTCTGTAAATATACTGAAGATACAGTCAGCCTCATCTGTATTTGGTCTACTTGTGGGAAACAAAAGGATAAATATAAACTATCACATCTCTGTTGTGGGTCCAATGTGCAGGACTCACTGAAGTACATCAGTGGAGCAGTGCCAGTAAAATTCTCCCTGGGTCTCTACAACACATTGTGACATGACCACCAGGACAAGACCAGCCTAGAAGCAGACGATGTACGTGGCGTATGTCTCTGGAAAGGAGTGTATCATTTGGGAATAGATTGTGAGAGAAGTTAGTGCTTGTCTAACCAGCAGCATGTGAGCAGAGACAGCCACACAACTCTAAAGGTCAGGAATCTGCCAAGGATCCCCCCACTGTGTTGCTTAGTTGAAAACTGACAGTTTAAGGTACCTCTGTGTGCTGGGAAACCACAGTGGACAGCACTGAATGCCTTTAGTAAGGGACACCTTTGAGAAGCATTTGATTTAATCTGTATCCAACTGATAAAAAAAAAAAAAAAAAAAAGTAATTTCTTCACTTTCTTCAGAGACAACTTTTGAGACAGGTCAGACATGTTTAGCCAGGCTGGCCCATGCACTTCAGCTAACTCCATTTCTTTTCCAAAAAATAATACATAAAATATGAAGGGCTTAGGACGGACATGGGCTACAGGTTCTGGTTTGTCCTATGAGTAAACCCCCAGTATTCCTTAGTTTATTTGTTTTCAGTTAGGCTCTGGTGACTACATCTAAGGGGTTCACAAAAGTTGTTTAAGAAAAGGAGACCTTGTTCAATAGACTAACTTGCTCTACAGAGAGTCCAAATCTCCACTGAAAAGTGTTTGGGGTCTGTAAGCTGCAAAAATGTCAAAGAGTTGTTCTGGTAGTCTGCTGTGATATTGTGATATCACACCAACACTCTACTCTGATATTGTATTTTTGTTGTACCCTGAACTGCACAGTTCTTGACAAGAGGTGGTCTCACTTCCTGACTCATCATCACTGCAGCTATCCATACTGAGATTTTTCCATATAGGACCCTTTTCTATGCACTGGCCAAACCAGTTTGCCCTGTGAGATTTTACGATTTGGGTTAAACTAAATGGGAGCTGTATACACAACACTTACGAAGTGGTAATTCTAGAGCTAAGCATGCTCTCTCTTATGTTCCTTTTTGTTTTACAGGTTGTTACTTTGTGGTATAGAGCTCCCGAAGTTTTGCTTCAGTCCAGCTATGCAACACCAGTTGATCTTTGGAGTGTTGGCTGCATATTTGCAGAAATGTTCCGTCGAAAGTAAGAAATGCAGTTTAATTTTCTTCATGTTTTTCATTTGAGATTTGAAAAAAATGTGCAGTAAAGTCTGGTACAGTACACTGGATCAGATTTATATTGGGAAATCCTGATAGGATTTTTTATTTGCAGCAAAAAATGTAAATACCCATTGCAAATTCATACTTGCTTCTATCTTGGAGTCTTTCTTCTTTGATGGAAGTCTGCTTCAGCTCTTGGTAAAGCCTGTATGAGCATTGTTGCATTCCTGTTACACCTGAATCCAAATGCAGATAAAAGTGAGCTAGAGAGGCTGTTTATCAATTTGAGTAAAGCTGGATTATGGAAGGGATTTACCCTGAGGGAGGCAGGGCATGGTGGTCAGCAGAGTCTTCTTGCTCTGCTGTTTGCACATTGAGGGCATCAGGTGTTTGCTCATAGTCCCCACTTGGCATATTTGATCTCAGAAGTCACTGTAAAGTTGATTGCTAGAGGTAGGAAACAGAGGTGGAATTTTTTTAAGAATAAACTATTTAGCCTGGGTGTAGGGTAACAGATGTTAAATATAGTCAAAAAAAACAAAACAAAACAAAACAAAAACAAACCAAAAACCCCAAACAACGACAACAACAAAAAAAAACAACAGATAAAAGACTTCGTTTTTGGCTGATTCAATTAAATTGGCTATCAGAACAGTCTTGCTACAAAATATTACAGCTGGATGCAGCTGAGTTGTGCAGGCAAGAGGAGCACTTGTGTACTGTTCTTTCCCCATGGAAGGACACTAATATGGAGGTTGTACCATGTAGGGTGTGGAGAAGAAAAAAACCCCTGAGAACGTTAACAAGGTAAATCTGCCTCGATATTAACTCAATCACATGCATTTTTGTTGAGCTTACTGCAAAAAGTGCATGTTCTCATCACCTGGGTGATCTCCATGTAGAAACTGTATAGGATTTTGTAACAACACCCACTGAGAAATCAAAGAACGTACATAAAGAAAATGTCAAAGAAAATGATACACTGGGTTGCCTAAAAACCAAAATCAGTATAATTTACAAGGAGAAGGCATATTGCAAGGGCCTTGAGAAACAACTATTTAATTTATACAGTGTGAAGTTCAAAATACTAATTGAAGTCTTGCAAAATAGGTTTGGGATTCTACTACTTATTAATGTTAGTATATGGAAAAATCATTTTTCTTGGGCTTCTCGCCTGGTCAAATGGCCTGGGTAGAATTATTATACTCCACCCTCTCTGTTTCTGACTCAGAAATGAGGTCAGAAAACAAGAGAAGAATGTGGATTTTAGGAGTATCAATTAATCCATTGCAAACTTTTAAAGATTTAGTCTTATCCCATATACTGCCAGGTTTACAATATCATTAAACTATTGATATTTTTTCTGATTTTAAACAGCAGAGTCAACAACTTCATTTTAGCATTTTCAATAAGAGTGACAAACAACTGAACACAGAACTTTATCGCATGCTCAAAACCCTCATTTTTTTCTCATTTAATTTGCAGTACTCTGACAGATAAGAAATATTGCCATATACAAGCACCAGCATTTTAATTTTATTTTTGCTATTATGATGTATGAGCTTCACTAACTCTTCAAATCCAGCACAGGAAATTAAATTAGGGACAGTTAAATTTTCTACTTGTTTGCAAATGCAAATATTACATTAATATTACAAAAGCAGAGAGGGATTTTTTTTTAATGAAAATGAGATCTGACTTGAAGCAGAGTTTGATAAAACCAGGACTTCTATTATTCTTGCCAAATGCAGGGTCAGTCTGACATTTTCAGTCCTAAATTTGGGACACTGTCAAAAACTGTAGAGGTCAGGAATCTGCCAAGTTTGTATGTACTATGGAGTTTCATTGGAAACAATATGACTTTCACATACTTCAGTATACAAGCATGATTCAGAAGACTAATCTCAAGGCTCATTGCCATAAAGCTACAATGAACAGCACTGAATGCTATCTCCATGGACGTTGTATTGGGTTAATGTTGCAATACTCTCTATAATATATGTTGTCTTTCTGATTCTCTTGATGGATTGCAAAAGAAAACCCATGTTACTGTGACCTTGGTAGCAATAAACTGTAAAATTTTGCAAACTCCATGGATTATTTCCAAAAAATTGTATAAATGCAACAGCTATTTCGGCTGCAAAATGGTAGTGCCCTTGGGTAATCACCAATCTGCATTTCCACGGCTGTTGGTAGGAGTATGAGAATGCAGCTAAAGCTTAGAAGTAGATGTTGGTTTGACATTAAGACAACCTTTTCTTTTTACTGGCTTTCTGGGTACTTCTTGCTTTCTTTCCCTGCTCTCTTTTGCCTTCTCTTTGAAAGATTTTAAAACTCTGACATTTTTAAGAAATTTACTGAGACTTCTCTGAGGTTTTTTGTATCGTGGAGACTTCACTGGAACGGGTTTCCGAATAAAAGACTACCCAGCATCACAAAACGTATCAGAATCCTGTTTATGCCAAGAAGACATTTGATAGTTTGATTTTGCTAGAATGTAGTTTTTTAGGCTGTTACAAACACAGTCAGGGCATTGCAGGTTTGGACAAATATAGGAGAAAGTTGAGCTTTGTATGAATGGTCCAGTACCTATGTTAAAGATTGCAGTGTCTCTGAGTGGAAGGCACTGCATTTAATTTAAACCACCCTTAATCCAAAAGAGTTTAAGATAAATGCACACAAAGTATTTGTTTAAGAAATAGATCCAAAATACACTAAAGTGTATAAAGGAATTAGTAGACAAAAAAAATAAAATAAATATATCTCTGTCTATATGCACCTAGAATAAATTTGAACATTTCTCTCATCTTGGCTGATTCAGCTAAACAAATGGCACTTCTCAGCTGAGGACTCAGGTTCTCTTGTAATCTGAGGTTTGTATAAAGTCATATATATATTTAAAACATGCACATTTTAATTATGGTGCAGATTTGTAGGCTTCTGCATACATGAATGCACAAAGGCTGTATCCTGAAACCCCTCGCACAGATTCCCAAGGATCCTACTCTACTTACAGATCAGCAATAAATTCCTCAGTAGTCAGGTGTAAGCAGAAAATGTTCTGATTTGTGCATCTTTTTCTGTCCATGTGCACTGCTGATGACAGCATCCCAAACAAAGCATTACTTGAAAATTTCCTTACATGGTAGTTTCAGTTTTTAAATTTCCTCTCTAATTAAGTAGGTTGCAGTGACTTCTAGATACATTTGGGTGGACTGTCCTTATCTAACAAAAGTGTGAATGTATTTGTCATGGTGACTGTTTTCTTTGTGACTTAAAAGCTATGGTGCGTTGATAATAATAACCAGTAAGGAAGATTGTAAGGTATGCTATGGGGTGCTCCCATATCACAGAATCCTTCAGAGAAACAGCTGGCAGGACTGACAGGGGGCTGATGGCATGGGGCATCCTTTAGCACAGCAAGATTAGGTTAGGGGTTTTTTTAATGTTTAAATTAAAATAAGGATTACTTATAAAAAGGCTTCACTCTGAGGCTGAGCATTTTCCTGGCCAGCAGGAAAGGGCCTTGTACCTCCTACTCAGTGAACAACTCATTAAAGAGAAAGGGAAACACAGCAGTAACATCCTCTTCTGTCTGGATACATGAAACCAGTTGTCTCAAGGACTGCAGGCGGCTCCAAGACAGGAAGCCATGAGCGATGTTTTAGGGAGGAAGGGGCAGTCTCTATTCTTGCTTGGATTAAGTAATGCTCAATCAAGGTGAATGAGTGTGACAGAGGAAGACTGGAATCTGAACTGGGGTGAAATGATCTATAAAAGAACGCAGGGGTCACCAGTCTTGGGCTCTCTTCTGAGTAGGCAGTCTTGAGAAAAAAATGTCGAAATGTTTTGATATTTAGTTCTTAGTGCATCTGTATATGCCCAGTCTTCAAAACCACAATCCTGTATGACTTCAATCCTGCAAAGAGTAGGGTGTTAGTAGGTATATATGTGGGACTAATGATTCAGATATCTATATAATAATTCCAGCTAGGCAAGTTTAACTGTAATATTGCACAAGCAACTGAGTTTGTCTTCCTTTGAAGTAAATACAGAGCTAAAAATCATCAGAAGAGACTGTCATTTTTTGTAGCCTATGCTACATTCACAGCCCAGTCAAGCTGGAGAAGTCATGTATTTTAGAGGGGCCAGTGTTGTGACTGCATGTGCAATCTTCACAAATATTACATGTACCCATTCAAACCCAAAACTTGAAAGACAGTCCTCTCCCAAAAACTTTTTCCACCTCAACAAACCAAAAGTAAACCAGTATTATCTGAGTGCCCAAGCTTCATCCAGCTGAGAGGGAAGTTAATTCCATGCACATGCACTTCTTACTGAGACTGTTCATACACCAGCTCCATGGTGTTTTAATCAGCCTGCTGTTGGTAAGATTACCAGCCTCAGAATTTCATAAGGTGCAAGATTGGCACAAATAGCATGAAGTTATTATTTATTAATTTTTAAATATTAAATCATGGGTTTAGTGTTTGTCTCATTTTTAAGCTTATTCTGCCAGCTCCTAATATATGTCAGACAGTTACTTATTTGCCAGCCATGCTTAAAAATTGTAGCAGCAAGTGAGAGATATGCGGCTCTACTAAAATACCGATGATGGGTCAAGTTCCCTTATGGGCACAAACAACAGATGTAGGGGAACAAGCTGTAGGCATATAAGACATATTTCAATAGTATAATTTTGTCCAATTAGAGGAGATACATCACTGTGTGCAGAAAAGTCATGAGCCCAGGACTTTGTTGCTCTAGGTAATGTGTACAGATGTGATAAAATCAAAGTTGAGAGCCTCATGTGGTGATTAGGCTGTGATGTGAGCACTGCATTTGGGGACTACAGGCTGCCTTTATTCATAAAACATTTAACAGGTTTTAAAAAAAATAGCAGTACAGAGATATTCATTCTTAGATACAATGTGTTACAGTATAGCGTAATTGTAAAGCAACTTTCACCCTAGAATATGGTAA